GGCCCGGAGGTGATACCTGCCCTGTATCCCTCCCTCCAGAGCATGAACGTTTAGAAAGTAGGAAGGATCCAGGGGCTTAGAGTGTTGGCCTCATGGAGCCCCTTGTGCAACTTTTCTTAGAGATCCCGTGTGCGCTGTGGGTTCTGACTTCCCTACTGGACGCTCCTACCCAGCTTTGTCTTCTCCCCGCTGCCCCACCACAACCTGCAACACCCCTCTTGTTCTACTGCCTCCAGGCCTTTGATCATAGGACCCTTTCCCTTTTATGAAACCCCCCTCTTTCACCTTCTTCCCCCATCTCTCTAAATCTTACCTAGTCTTCAAGGCCCAGCTTAAATTCTGACTTCTCTAAGAGGCTGTCTTTCTGATTCATCCTCGCCATCTCTGCAACACTGACAATGACAGCTATCAATAATTGATGTTACTATGTACCTACCTGACACTATAATAAGCTCCTGTGGCATCTCGTTCAATCCTCACAATAACCTTGTTACTGGAAGGTGAATTGGAGTGCACTGGCCATGTCACACTCGAAGTGACAAAGCTGGAATTCCTGCCTCGGTTTGCCTGGCTCTGAAGGGCAGGCTTTCAACCACTCTCCAGTGCGCCCCCCGAAAGGTGCTCCTCATCTAATTGTGAGAAGCTGATGAAGCTAGCTAGGACCTCAAAGGTCTTATCATTTAGTCCTCTCAATTTATAGACGAAGAACCTAAAATCCAAAAAGGCAGACTTGATCAAGGTAAGAGTGAAATGTTGACAAAGCCTGGGCAAGCACCAGTGTTCCTGGTTCTCACACTCAGTCATCACTTATGTATTCAACATCCACATATCAGAGCCTCTGTGTCGAAGGCCCTGTGTTGGGCTGAGTGTCCTTCCTACTGCACCTTCTCTTACTAACTTACCTGCCTCTTACAAACACCCCATAGCTCTACTCTCAAGCTCTAACACATACCTGTGTGTGCTTCTTAGCACCAAGGACGGGGAAAAGCACCAGACTGAGGTTCCAGGCGACATTCTAGTTCCAGCCCATTGGGACCTTACGAGTCACTACCTCTCTTTGGGCTTCTGTTTCTTCATTATAAAGTGAGGGCCTAGAACCAAATAATCTTGAAGGCTCCTTCTGACTCTTGGTATCTTAATATTTCTATATTCAGGTTAGTTTCCCAAGTTAGACTGCATGGTCTCTTCCTCGCTGCTTGTCTAGGTTAACTCATCCTAAACCACAGTTCAGATTCTAATTATCCCTAATATTTCTTTGGTACTCAGTCTAAGCTTCTTTGACCTCTTACGCATCTTTTTTTTTAAACGTTTATGTCTGGTCTCCCACTGGGTAATAACAGGATCTCTGTGAACCTCTTTGTATCCCTAAATGCCTAGCATAAGTAAGTACACAATGTTTGTTGATAATTTTTTTCTCAGGACCATGAATTTACTGCCTCTGCCATTTGTTTTATTCCAACTATAGCTATGTTGAAAGCTTGTTTTTTTTGCTTGCCCAGTGAGCTTGCATTACTGTACCAAAGGTTCCCAACTCATATCCTATTTATTCTAGAAATTTTCTTTTATGATAGTCCCCTTCAGCCCAAGTTTCCACTGATTATTCTCCAAAAATAGCTCTCTCCTGGCCTCTGCTGGAGTGATAGCAAACTGTTCCATTAATTCTTCGCTGAAGTGCATGCTACAGGACTCAAGTGTCAGGGCACTTCAGGTTTCTAAGGCACCATTCTAACAGCATTAACTCCGCTAAGAGAAAGATTTTCAGATGGCTCTTAAACTGTTAGAATTGTTGAGAACAGGCAGCTGGATGGTGTTTATATTTCAAATGTTTATTTTTGAAGAGACATTTTTCAAAATTAAAGTCATGCTTGTTATGTTAAGATGTCAGGGATAACAGAATAAGGTTCTTAGGTGTGTGTTTCTGTAAAAGCTTGCTCCTTGGGAGAAAATTTCTCAACTTTTGCCTGAAAATAATATTGTATTTAGTATTGTGCCTGGTAAAGTGCTTGATAAGTGTTAAATAAATTTATTAGTATTTGGTTTATGTGATATAATGTTGTTCCTTTTTTGTGAATGAATTATGAATTAAGGACTATCTGGGGAGGGATCTTTACAGTCTTTCAGAGTTATTTCTTTTGGCAAACCTAAGAATGTTCTCTATGTATTTCTGAATACATATGCTAGATACAGTTTAAATTGAGTTATTAATACCTTGAGCTTACAAACAGCGGCCTTTCCAGTTGGACTTTGGGAAAATTTTTCACTACATGAAAGGTGTTAGGAATATTCTTCTGTTTCATTTTGCTTTCTCAAGGTAGTATGTCTTTTATATACATTTGGCCCCGTGATTAACCCATGCAAATTGCTGCCTTTGACAATCTTAGGTTTCAAATGGTTTAATCAAAATACCTGATTGTTTAAAGGCAGGAAGGTGTTCCTCAAATGTTAAGTCTGATATAAGGTTCTGAATGTTTTCAAAGTTTAAATCAGAAGTCTTCAACTTTAAAAAGCTCTCAGGCAACCTGAAACTATATATAATTATATATAAACAGCGATTGACATATATTTGTGTGAAAATATTGTCTAATATGCATAATGCTTTACAAATGAATAGTGCCATTTATATACATTATCTATTTAAAAAAAGTTTGAGCATGCATTACACATCATATACTGCGGTTTTGCATTTAAATACATCCTTCTAACTCAACTGCATTGAAATTACATCTTCTAACTCAAGTGCTTTTAAATAGTGTTCGTTTCAGGACTTCATTTAAAGGCAGAACTAGTCAAGAGCAGATAAAAAGGAAGCGAGACCGCAATTTACACAACTTCACACAGGGTGACTGAGGATGAAGTGAAAAATGCAAAATGCTATTAATGAGGGTTGGATCACCATTAAGCTACTATCAGGTAAACAATTTCTTGCTATCTCTGCTTAGCCCGCCTTTAAAAAAGCAGAATCCATTGGAGATACAGAACTTTAACTGCACATCCTGTAGTACTCTGTTGAAATCTAGGTGTCTTTCAATCTCCTGGCCTTTAAAATTAAAAGCACTACATTATAGTAGACATACGCTCTGATTCTGAAATTATGCAATCCTGGGCTCTAATTTTATCTCTCAGGTTTTAGAGGTAGCCAAGTGACAATTCTGGCCACTGAGAAATAGAGGAAGTTATCAGGTGGGGCCTTCTGGAAAACTTTTTCTTTTCTTTTCTTTTTTTTAGCTGAGCCATCCTGCCACCCGTTGGCAGTTCAGCTCGGGCTGGGAATCGAACCGGTGACCCTGTTGCTCTGAGCTCGCATTCTTGAGCAAGCTCTTAACCAACTGAGCCACTCGACTGGCTCTGGAAAATTTTTTAAAGAGAAACAAAAACAAGTGATGTGTGCTTTTGTTCCTTTTCTTTTCCCTTCTTCCTGTCTAGAACATGGAGATGATGGCAGAGGTGGCCTAATTATTTTATAGTTTCAAGGATGAAGGCCACATACAGAATATGAAACAGCAGAAAGCTAGAAGAAATCTGGGTCCATGAGGGCATCGTGGAGCCTTGGACTACCGACCTCCACTTTTTAATGTAAGAAAAATAAAACCTGTAATTTGTTGTTTTACCTGTTTCTTGAATCCACTCTTGGCAGCTTAATGTTAAACTGATACATAAATTCATAAGATTTGAGGATTAAAAGAGAAAAATCTACATGAAGAACAAAACAAGTGGCCTGGCATAAAGCAAGTGACCAATGAACGGTTGCTATTATTTTAGGGAGATTAGATGACTGCCAGCAGAAAACAAAAATCAAACATAGGATAAACAGTTTGGGAAGGGAAGAAAAGTGCTGAATAGAAGCTATGATAGGGTTGTAAAATTCAGAATCACATTCAGAGCCAAACAATGTACATAGCGGATGTGACATATAGTAGATACTCAACATATGTGATTTCTTTTCCGATTCTCTCTGTGAGACCACAAACTGATGTCATTTATTCACATAAGAACCTTGATCAATGAGAAAAACAAGACTAAGCAGAGATTTTTAGGAACTCTGAGAAGTAAAGGTTGTATTTATACGATCATTTAGATTTTAGCAAGGCATTCCATTCAGTGTCTCATGTACTGCTTATGTCATACTATAAAGATATGTATTTCAGGACTACACAAAAAAGACACTGATAAAAGACCACTAAAAAAAAGATGACACAGATGTGGTCAGTCATCTTCATGACTGAGGTACCAAGTCCTAGAGGACTAGAAAGTTGCTAAGTAGAGAGATCTATTTTGTTGCCAAATTGGAAGTTCATAAACGTTAGTCAACCCAGAAAAACAATACAACTAAACTTGCACACATGAGCAGAGAACTCAAGAAATTCAGCTTGAAAGCTGCACCAGAAAAAAGAAAAAGTATAATGAAAAGAAAGCATGTGACAGTTGGAATATTAGGATCAGATCAGAGGATGTTAATTTGTAGTATATGTGAAAGGAAAAAAAGTTGGTATCTGTGGTCACCGTGAAAGGAATATACTAGAGTAGTACCTCATTTCAAGTCAATAAAAGCAAAAGGCTGGAAAGTTAAAAGGACTATTAAAACTTAGCCTTTTTCATAAAAAGACTTAAATGTCAGACATTGAAATGACCTACAGAAGAGCAAGTGATGAACAGAATGAAAATTTGTAATGATTAACATGAAGTCAGTCATGCTGAATGTAAATACACAGGGGCAGGTGAAATAAAAAGACAAGATCTGAAAGGCAACAAATCAGACTATAACTATCACATTTTCAAAACTGTAATTGGGTTACACCAAATAAAGTAAATAAACAACTCTTAAGTTAGAGTGCAAAATGAGAGCACCTTATTGTTTTAATGGTGCAAAAGCAAGAAAATACAACATTCACTTATCCACATTTTAAATAGTTGTTTGTGTGGTGGGTAAATGCCATTTAAAAACATTTTCAATAGAAAAATCATTTATAAATCAGTTTACAGAAAATTTTAAAAAATCAGTGTTTTTAATAACAACTTTAGCTATAAATAACTAAAAAGAAAAAAGATTGTTCTCTAGCCTGTTTTTGCTTCAACATTTATGTCTTCTGCTCCTTGCCTTTTGGAGAAAAGATTGCATTGTAAGGCTGCCGTCTTTTTGGACGAGGACAAGGATGAAGATCTTCCTTAATGTAACCTTAAAAACAAACAACGAATTTAAAAGATTATATGTGCATTATACATTTCCTTCAGCATATAGCCAGTAAACATCTGTCTTATCTCATGCATTCTAAGTTTACATGATTCTTCTAATTATTAGCTGAGTGATGCCGAAGAATGATTTCACTATTTAGCATCAGTTGCCTTATTTATACTAACAGCAGCAAGCATTTATCAAATGTGTGGTATACATGATCTCAGATGATGCTCACATTCCTTTGAAGTAGCTTCCACTACACCTATTTCACAGATGAGGTAATGGAGACCCAGGGAAGTTAAATCACTTGACTTCCCAAAGCTAGGAAGTGGAAGGGCTGGGACCTTGCTCAACATCTCTCTTACTCCAAAACCAGAGCTCTTAAGCACTTTCCTAATCTGCCCTCCAATGAGTTGCAATGGGGACAATGGCTAAACACAAACCCTTTACTATTATGATAAATTCCAGGTGCTTATCAAAAAAACTTAAAAAAAAATTTTTTTTTTATTTTGAAGTTTAGATTACAGAAAAAGTTTAGATTGCAAAAATTAAAAAAAAAACAAAGCACTTTTAGTAGTAGTAATTTCATGATATGACATGCCCCTATACTCTTTGGACTATTCAATTCTTCTAAGGTGTGTCCAATCTTGTAGTTTTCAGGGGAGGACTGTGCCCTGCCGCACCCCTGGGCCATATTAGGTGCTCAAACACAGGCTGTATCCAAATTGTCCTAGTTCTGTTTGATGACCAGGCTGAGATATTATGTCAAAGAGGACATAGTCTAGCTTGTTAATGGGGAAAGTGGAAATACAATAATGGTTGTCAAAGACTGCATCTTCTGGAAAAACTATCTTACCACTAAATATACGGAGCTCTAAAGTTACATATACTCTCAAATTATATTAAATATAAGTGCTATATTTGAAGGAACTAGAGGCACATCAACAATCTTTCAAACAAACAAGCAAACAAACAAAGGTCCTTTCTACTCATGTATTGTTTAAAAATACCAAGCATTCTGGGTAAATGAGGTTTTAAAATCTAAAACTCAGATAGTCACTTTAAAAAGGTGCTCTTTTTTTTTTTTAAAAACAAACAATATAACTTCACTGGCAACTTTTGTAAGTTATTTATTAAAAGTCATTTGTAAGAGAAATAACTTTCTGATATTTGAATAAGCCAAGATAATGCACACACAATTATGCTAAAGTGATTGGGCTGTCGGAAAAGTCATGATGCATTTTTGCAAAGAAAAACAGAAAAAATACGTCATGACTTTTCCGACAACCCAATATAAACAACCTCTGATTACAATAAAATTACTTGAAGAGTTGAAGGTAAGCCTTTTATCTTTAGGAATTTGTTTTTATGACACAAACCTAGCACCCAATTTGCAGCAGAAGGTAAAGAGCTATGGAAAGAAAGAATTGAGTATACACAGTATTAAAAAAAATTAATTCCAAAATGTTATAATCGATACTCTCACCTCTTGCCTCACAAGTCTGAGTAGAAGGAAAGCCAACTTCCCAGAAATTCTCTGGTGTGTTGGGTGGAATGTAGCGGAATCGGTGTCTTGAACAGGAAGCCAGCTTCTTTTCTCTTTCTTCTGCTGGAATATCTGCATAATACTAATAATAAAAGCAGTTAAGTCTTTCATTTAGGAATAAAAATGGAGTGTTATGATTACTGATTATAAACTTGAAGCTAAGAAAGCTACTTATTAAAGCATTAGGCCTGCTAAGAAAACTTAATGCTCCCTGATGATAATACTATTCATTACTTACTAGTAGTAATTACTGCTGGTCTGTGCAATGTTTGCTTCACAAATGAAAAGAGGAACTTGTATTACAATGTAGATCAACATACTGCTTCCTTAGTCAATAAAGTCTTACAATGAAAAAACATGCCCGCTGTTCTTTACAGTACGCTTAGTGAGCTGACTGTTACACATCCACATGTGGATTCCACATTCCACATCTGGAATAGGCAGTGGGATCAATTTAGGAACCGTAAGCACATAGATAATATTTAAACACATGGGACTGGCACTTTCACTCCTGGTTATGAGGGAGTAACAGGCAACTGACTTACTGTCCTACCTTAAAACAACTAAAGAACGGGATAAAATGTATGAAACAATGTTTTTCAGAGCTTAGATAATAGCACAGGAAATGATTCCTGAGAAGGAAAGCAAATGAACAGTGTTTCTAGCACAGGAGTTTTTTTCTAACTGGTAATAGTAGTTCCAGACTGCTTTCCAAAATAGTGACGCCAATTTACACTCCCACCGTTAGTGCATGAGAGCACATTTCTCCTCAGATGCTTACCTGTATGGTAATCTATTCACACATAACTTTAATGTGTTTGGTTATCAAATTTTGTAGCTCATGGTTGTTAAAAACAAAATTTGAATAGGGAATTCAATTGCTGGAAGCAGGCATCTGATAGCTAATGAATAACAGGGAAGAAATAAAAACAGCATGTTTTAAGAACACAGAACTTGCCTGGAACTATTTAGTAAGAGGGCGATTAATACTATCTATATATTATAATTGTACTATCCAAGACAGCCAATGTATAAAAGGAAAATAAAATTGTGTTCTAAGGATTAAATAAGAGTCTATTAACTTTTTTTAGAAAGGAAAATGTTTGGGGGGAAAACAAGAGCTTATGGTTGTACCTATTATTGAGAGTAACAATTAAAAGTATATCTTATTTCCCGAGAGTGCTAGTATGAGTAATAAATGTTATAGTACAGTTTCCTATTGAAATATCAAAATTCCTCCCAAATAGTATATATAGAAGAACCTTACTGTAACATAACTCAGGAAAAAAATTAAATACAAATAAGGCTCTAATAAGAGCTCATGCTTAGGCTCCAGATTGACTTAACAAAAACCTAAGAGAAATTGAGGGCTTTCATGTGCATCTATTTATATCTCTCAGGTTCTAGCCCCCCCCCACACACACACACACCCTATTTATATTTAAACTTTATTGGGGAACAATGTGTTTTTCCCAGGACCCATCAGCTCCAAGTCAAGTTGTTGTCCTTCAATCTTAGTAGTGGAGGGTGCAGCTCAGCTCCAAGTCCACTCGCTGCTTTCAATCTAGTTTCAGGGGATACAGCCCACCATCCTATGCGGGAGTCGAACCAGCAACCCTGTTGCTCAGAGCGTGCGCTGTAACCAACTGAGCCACTCGGCTGCCCCAGTATATTCTTGTTTTTTTTTTTTTTTTAGCTGAGTCATCCTGCCACCTGTTGGCAGCTCAGCTCAGAGTGGGAATCAAACCGGCAACCCTGTTGCTTGGAGCTCGCACTCTTGCGCGAGCTCTAAACCAACTGAGCCACTCGGCCAGTCTCCCAATATATTATTTATTCATTCTGTTATTCCTGGTGCAAACTAG